GGATGGTGAAGGTGATCAGCTCGTGGTCGCTGTCACCCCGCTTCCCATCGATCACTAGGTCGCCGACTAGGTCATCCCCAGTAGCCAGTACCAGGTGGAGCAGCGCTTTGCCTCTCGTTGGCCCATAGACTTCTTGAGTCAGGTAGAGGTCATCCACGCACGAGAGGAAGCTCTGCGACCGCTCAGATTTTGCTGAGCGATCCTCCCACGAGATGTCTGGGTAATTGAAGTCACCCATGACAACCATGGTCCTGGAGCAAGCTGCCTCAGCCAGTTCCTGGGCAAACTCCTGGTCAAGCTCAGGACTTTGGGTGGGAGGTCTGTAATAGACTCCCACCATTGTGTCACCTGTGCCGTGTTCCCCACGGAATCAACTCAAGCAAAGTAGCACTGATTTTCCTTTTTTTCCTCATGTATTTTCCTGGTACTGAAATACAAACTACAGTTTCTACTAAATTCTTCCTGACAAGGCAGATTTCTACTCCTTCACTGATTACCCCTGAAACAAAAAGTTTGAAGACAAACTCAAATACATTGATCAGCATCTGGGCATCCAGTCTTTTAAAAAAATTAAGTGAACTGCCACGCACAACTATTTGAAATGCAAATGAGTACTGATTATCTTATCATCCTTGTTATGATTATTTAAATTGCTGTTTAGTTTAATTTCCTGTTAATATGTAAACAGAAGCAAAGCAAGATGCAAGAATGATTTGTTTGTAAGATCCGCTGTGTATAAAGTGCATTAAATATAAACATGTTACTTAATGCATCATTTAAAATGTTTGTACCTTTCTTGTTGTCTGGTTTCCATGGTCAGATCCTCCCAGAGCAAAGTATAGAACTCCTTGTTTGCTATATTTTTTTCTTCTACATCACAGTTAAGGACAGTGAGCTGTATGGTACCTGGGCAGTTTAGAGCTGCTGAGAACATTGTGAAATTTGTATTGATCCAAAAGGTTTTTTCAAGAGAGTCAGTGACTGAATGTGATCATTTTTTGGTCTCTGTTTTGTTTGAAAGCTTAGTTCAGATCACCACCACTTAAGTATTTTGGTGCATCTATTTTTACCTTTGTGAATCAGTCAGTGTTGTGTTGAATAAACTGGCAAGCTGAATACTCTAGAGTATTTAGGATTTAAGCCTGTGATTGACTAATTGTGAAAGAACATCTAGTTAGAGAGCATGTTTCTGACCCAAGCAGTCTGCTGCAGGGCACCAAACCTTCAACATTCCCGACTACTTCCCTGCGGTCTTAGCTGCAGGCAAAATATAAGTAAGGAGTAGTAATTAATGGAGCTCTTCCTTCCAATTATAATCTATCTTGAAGTATTAAAAAAAAAATTAAAAACCCACTAAGATCAGTTTTGATAAAGGATAAAACCCTCTTTGCTAAGGCAGTCTGTAGTTATATATGGTCATGTTGCCCACCTTTGCCTCCCACAACATATCAATTTATGCAACTCGAGAAGCGCCCTCTATTGGAAGGCTCAGAACCACAATAACAAAAGCTACAATTTTCTTTGAAAAATAATGAGACCATCCAGGAATGTTCTATGTTTCCTATGTAGCAAAGTAGATCAAATATGACTGCCCAGGCCTCCCAAGGGGCAAAGCCAAAAGAAAATCTCTTCTAAGTTTAGACCATGATGCCTGTCGGGTACTCAGGAGCATAAAGCTTCCACTGGCCATGTTAAGTTAAGCTTTCTTTCTAGGCCTGGTTTTCACTCTTTTTGAATAAAATATTAACATTATACACACATACACACATGCCTGCAGACACACGCACAAATACATGCACATTTAATGGAATTTTATTTCTTTCTCGTTGTCTAAGTATCAGTTTTTCAGTTGTTTACATGACATTTTTGTCATTTACATGCAGGTACCCATTCAATTCCTGGACATTCCTGTGTATATAGATGCCTGAATAAGTACATACAGGCAGTCCTCAACTTACAGTGTTTCGAGTTACAATGTTTCACACTGATAATGTTTATAAATTGACACACTGTTTCAACTTTCTGATGTCAGTTTTGACTTCACAGTGCTTGATCCAACACCATGCCACACCAGCGAACAAGTCCGCTGACTTGCCCATCTCCCTGGAGAACACCTGTCCAAACTTCCTTGGACACTTTCTTTAAGAAAGCAGACAAGACTCCAAAAAAACCTGCAGCCAAGACTCCTGAGAAGACTCCAGCCAAAAGCCTTTCAAAAAAGTCCAGCAAAGTCACCTCAAAGGAGTCCTTCCAAATCAATCTGATCGCTATTTACAATATAAATATATTAATGTAGCTATATTACTCACCTATAATTGATCAAGTACTAAATTCTGGGTTATTTTTGGTGAAAATAAGGTATTGGGCCTTGGTTCAGCAACCAATCCCTCATTTATAACATTGTTTCCTATGGGAAAATCGGTTCTGAGTCGCAACATTTCAACTTAAGACACGGCTTTCAGGAACCCATTGTGTCATAAGTCCGAGGACTGCCTGTATCTAGGTAGCAACAAAATGATGGGGGAGGACCCTCCTGTGTTTTAGCTCCAAGAGCTTAGAGGCTAGGGCACTTGCCTGGGATCTGGAGACCCAGATGTTACGCATTTCCTTGCCTAGAAGGGTGGGGCATGTGTTAAACTTGTATTTCTCTGAGTTTCCAGTATGGTATTTTAGCCACCATGCCAGAGGTGTGCCTTCTTAAACTGAGCTTCTGCTTCTTGCATTTAATATAGTCACTGGAAAAAAATGGATGAAGGGCAGTGCAATGAGGAAATACCTCACAGGGGGACAAAACTCCATGCAGGAATCCAGCCTCCTCCCGCATGCCAGACCAGCAGCCACCTCGCTGGCTTGCCTGTTTTGTTCTGGCCCCACATGCCTGCATTTGGGACAGAATAATTGCATGCACAAATACAGATTGGGGAGTGACTGGCTGTAGTACTGCAGGGAAGGACCTGGGCATTACAGTGGCCTACAGCTGAATATGAGCCAACAGCAAAAATGCCTATAACAAATTGAGTTGTATTAACAGGAGTGTCACTTGCAAATCAAAGTAAGTGATCATTTTACTCTATTTAGCACTGGTGAGGCTTCACCTGGAGTACTGTGTCCAGTTTTGGGCTCCACACTTCAGGACAGATGTGGACAGTTTGCAAAAAGTCCAGCTCAGAGCAACAAAAGATGAGCAAGGGCCTGAGAGACAACATTTATGAGGAATGGCTGAAAGAGCTAGGGTTATTTCTTCGGGAGAAGAGAAGACTGAGGATGGATTTGATAACATTCTTCAAATACCTGAAGGGCAATTAGAGAGAGGATAGGGACAGGCTTCCCTCTGTGGCCATGGGGACAGGACTAAGAGCAACAGCCGCAAGATGCAGCAGGGGAAATTTAGGTTGGAGATTAGGAGGAACTTTCAGACTTTGAGGGTGGTCAAGCACTAGAACAGGCCATCGAGAGAAGTTGTGGAATTGCCAACCTTGGAAGTTTTCAAGAACAGGTTAGACAGACACTTAGCTGGGGTGGTTTAATCAGGGATGATCATGCCTTGAGCAGAGAGCTGAATTAGATGACCTTGTGAGGTCCCTTCCAGTCCTGGTTTCCTATGATCCTGTCCCTTATGTCCCTTCCTGTAATGCTTCCCGGGGTGCTAGCTTTAAAAGAAGCATCAAAGAAAGGCTTGGATAATACCTAACCTATGGCATGGTGCTCTACTAGATAATCAGACAGACCCATATTCAAACCCTCCTCTGATGAGGGGGGATTTTATAACCCAGGTTGCCACCTTCCCAAGAAACTGCCTGAACTACTCAGTTGTTGAGGCTAAAACTTTAGATGGCCCTCTACCTTCTGAGTGGAATATCAGCTGGCGGTGGATTTGGAGTTGATTATGTGTTGCAGCCTTTGATGCTGCTACATACATTCACAAGGGGCACATGCACATAACCAAGCAGGTATATAGCCAGTGCATAGGCTACTATCTATACCTAGTCTATGTGTATATGTAGTCAGCTATGAAGGCAGGCTTGAACATTTAAGAATAGAATTCCTATTTACACCTAAGTGCCAAAAATGCCATGTAGACCACCAAAAATCTACTATTTAGATGACCAAAAGGAAACAGAATTCCACCCACTGTGTATTCAGTGAACTAACTCCATCTTTCTAAGCATTTATTAGAGGTCCTAAAAAATTGCAAGAATCCCCCCTCCCCTCTCCTACCCCAAAAGAAAGAAAGAAAATTTTGCCCAATTTTCCAGGAAAATTTAAAATCTTCCACTTTTTTGAAGAAAAACTTTTTTCCTCATTTCTATTTTCCTTTCCCTATCATATTTTAGGACAAAAGGGAAAAGCAGAAAAAAGTTTCCATTTCTGGTTTTTAGGATTTTTTTTTAAATCGAAAAATAGACTGGAATTGGAAACAAAACCCCACCAAGCTCTTGGGAAATGTATACGAAAGACATTCAACAAAAAAAAAGAACTTACATGATTATTTTGCATTAAAAAGAGGCTTTTATAAATTAAACATTCACTCACCTCCAGTATTTGTACCACCTTAATGGAAATGAGTGTCAAGAAAAAGAAAACATTTTCCTTAAAAGCTGTGTGTGTGTGTGTGTGTGTGTGTCTCTAACCATCCTCAGTCAGAGAGGGAATATTGTATTAGGTCTTTGGCAGGTTTGCTTGGGGAGGGAATGAAGAGCAGAAATAGAAAACACAGGAATAAATGGAAACTGTATTAAAAAAATCAAGTTACTGCTCACTGATATTTTGTGCCTATAGCAATTGTCTTCTATCATTCTGATAATGGTATACGAGAGCTGCAAGTTCTTCCTCCAAAACCTACAATTTTCCAAGTAGTGAACTTTTCACAGACCGTTTAACTGGGCAGCAATACAATTTTGAAATACCTTTGGATCCAGCTGAGATAATACTTTCGTCATGCTATGCTTGATGAAGTAATATACTTGAGAGTACTAAGTATTGATCCTGTATTCATGCCTCTTGTCTAAGCTCTGAATTCATTTAACATAAGATGACAATGTTTCATACCTTTTTCAACCCCACTTCTGCTGGTTCTTTAATAATTGCATTTCCCAGTGCAGAATGAAAGACAGGTTTCCCAGCAGTGTTGAAACCTGACATGCTTAGGATGCTTCTGTCTACACAGTTTCTTGGCAAGGATGGTCCCCCCCACATCTTACACACATACTACCATTCTCACACTCCAAACCCAGAAATGCGGCAGTGAAACTATTCCAGGGGTATCTCTTTCTGCCTGTACTTGAGGAGTCTTGGGCATGTTTCTGAACAACAAGTTAGGGGAGTGGGGAGGCAGGGTGTAGCCAGACTTTTAGCGGGACACTTTGGTGTTATAGGTGGAGCTGGGGCCACCAATAACTAAAGTTTCCTCGCATCCCATTTTAAGACCCCATTTTTAGCAGTTTAAAACTGTAGGCTGAAGTTTCAATGGTGCCTGTGTGAGGGCATGGATATGGCTCCATATAATAGGATTTCTGTTTTTTTCAAGGTTTATGTGTTTAAGAAATGTAGGAAATTTCTTTTAACAATCCACTACATGTAAAAAATATTAAAGTGGCGAAATCAATCACCCCAGAAGTTTGGAAATGCCTCATGCATTCATGCATTGTAATACAGTCTACTTTCTTGGTCACCTGTCATCATTGCAATGCATTTTTTGCCTCATTCAGTACACAGAACAGGATGAACAAACTAGATTCTGTTTCAAACCCCGCTATGGTGTTCCTGTGCCTGGATGGGAGAGTGGTGTAAACCAAAATTTTCACAGGTAGCAAATGTGCCCTTCTCATTTTGAACATCAGACCCTGGGGTCTGATTTGCAAAAGTACTGTACAATGCAGCTGCAACTAAAGACAGCAGGAGCTGGATTTTGAACACATAAAGCTAGATAAAATGCTAAGGACCCTGAAAAATGAAGCTTCTCAAGTTGGGTGCCTAAAAGCAGGTGACACCTATGATAATTTTGGTCTTTG